TGAGCACCCACGGGTGAGAGAGCAGCACCCATGGGTGGGAGCTGAGCACCCAAGGGTGAGAGCCCGGCACCCATGGGTGGGAGCTGAGCACCCACGGGTGCCACCTGAGCACCCGCGGGTGAGACCCTGGTATCCACGGGTGTCACTTGAGCACCCACGGGTGCCCCCAAACCCTCCAAAGGTGCCTCCAAACCCTCCCAGGTACCACCAAACCCTTCCCAAACCTCACCTGGTCACCCCAAACCCCTCTGAAACCCCTCTTAGATGCCCCCAAACCCCTCTCAGGTGACACCAAACCCTCCCAGGTGCCCGGGCAGTGCCCACCTGCGCAGGTGCCCCTCGGGGCCTGGCCCAGGCTGCGGCTCAGCAGGTGGGAGCAGCGCCCAGGTGACCCCAAACCCCTCTGAAACCTTTCCCAGGTGCCACCAAACCCCTCCCACACGGTGCCCAGGTGCCCGGGCAGTGCCCAGGTGGCCGGGCAGTGCCCACCTGCGCAGGTGGCCCTGGGGGCCTGGCCCAGGCTGCGGCTCAGCAGGTGGGAGCAGCGCCCAGGTGACCCCAAACCCCTTTGAAACCTTTCCCAGGTGACCCCAAACCCCTCCCAGGTGCCACCAAACCCTCCCAGGTGCCACCAAACCCCTCCAAACCCCTCCCAGGTGCCACCAAACCCCTTTGAAACCCCTCCCAGGTGACCCCAAACCCCTTTGAAACCCCTCCCAGGTGACCCCAAACCCCTCCCAGGTGCCACCAAACCCCTCCAAACCCCTCCCAGGTGCCACCAAACCCCTCTCAGATGCCACCAAACCCTTCCCAAACCTCACCAGGTGACACCAAACCCCTCTGAAACCCCTCTTAGATGCCCCCAAACCCCTCCCAGGTGCCACCAAACCCCTTTGAAATCCCTCCCAAACCCTCTCAGATGCCACCAAACCCCTCTCAGATGCCACCAAACCCCTCCCAGGTGGCCGGGCAGTGCCCAGGTGCCCGGGCAGTGCCCAGGTGCCCGGGCAGTGCCCAGGTGCCCGGGCAGTGCCCACCTGCGCAGGTGGCCCTGGGGGCCTGGCCCAGGCTGCGGCTCAGCAGGTGGGAGTAGCGCTCGGTCTGGCCCACGATGAAGTCCAGCTGCAGGTCCAGCGCCTTCTTGCGCCGCTCCTCCAGCCGCGACTGCTGCTTGAACTGCACCACCTGCGGCACGGGCACCTGTCAGTCAGCACCGGGCACACCTGGGCACACCTGGGCACACCTGGGCACACCTGGGCACCTGTCAGCACCGGGCACACCTGGGCACCGGGCACACCTGGGCACCTGTCAGCACCGGGCACACCTGGGCACCTGGGCACCTGTCAGCACCGGGCACACCTGGGAGCACCTGGGCACCTGTCAGCAACGGGCACACCTGGGCACACCTGGGCACACCTGGGCACACCTGGGCACACCTGGGCACCTGTCAGCAACGGGCACACCTGGGCACACCTGGGCACCTGTCAGCAACGGGCACACCTGGGCACCTGTCAGCAACGGGCACACCTGGGCACACCTGGGCACCTGTCAGCAACGGGCACACCTGGGCACCTGGGCACCTGTCAGCAACAGGCACCGGGCACCTGGACACCTGGGCACACCTGGGAGTGCACCTAGGTACTCCTGGGAGTGCACCTAGGTACACCTGGGCACACCTGGGTACACCTGGGCACACCTGGCCACCCACTTGGGCACCTGTCAGCTGAGCTGGCCGGACCCAGGTGTGCCCATGTCCCCCCAGATGCCCCAGGTGCCCCCAGGTGTATCTCAGGTGCCCCCAGGTGCGCCCAGGTGCCCCCAGGTGTACCCAGGTGTATCTCAGGTGCCCCCAGGTGTGCCCAGGTGAATCCCAGCTGTGCCCACCCCAGGTGCCCAGGTGTGCCTGGGTATATCCCAGGTGTGCCCCATGTCCCCTAAGGTGCCCTCAGGTGTGCCCCAGGTGTGCCCGGGTGTATCCCAGGTGTGCCCATGTCCCCCCAGGTGCCCCTCCCAGGTGCCCGGGTCTATCCCAGCTTCCTCCAGGTGTGCCCAGGTGTGCCCAGGTAGCCCCATGTCTGCTCAGGTGCCCCCAGGTGTATCCAGGTGTATCCCAGGTGTGACCATGTCCCCCCAAGTGTGCCCAGGTGTGCCCAGGTGTGCCCAGGTGTGCCCAGGTGTATCCCAGGTGTATCTCAGGTGTATCTCAGGTGTATCCCAGGTGTGCCCATGTGCTCCCAGGTGTGCCCAAGTGTGTCTCCATGTCCCCTCAGGTGTCCCCAGGTGTGCCCAGGTGTCCCAGGTGTGCCCATGTCCCCCCAGGTGTATCCAGGTGTATCCCGTGTCCCCCCATGTCCCCCCAGGTGTATCCCCGGTGTCCCCAGGTGTATCCAGGTGTATCCAGGTGTGCCCAGGTGTGTCCCCATGTCCCCCCATGTCCCCCCAGGTGTCTCTCAGGTGTCCCAGGTATGCCCATGTCCCCCCATGTCCCTCCAGGTGTATCCCAGGTGTCTCCATGTCCCCCCATGTCCCCCCAGGTGTATCTCAGGTGTATCCCAGGTGTGC